AGTTACCACTCTACCTCATAATCTTAATTGTGTTTAATATCTACAGAATCTCTCTCTCTCTATTATTATTTTTTATTATTATTTTATTACTTCTACTTTATCAAATATTTGCAACTTACCACGTCATTGCCAATTTTATTTTAATTGTAACTTACCATAGCATTGTCCTATTCAACTATTACTGCCCTATTTTATTTTATACTTTATTGTTAACTTTCTATTATTGCCCTTTTTTATTTTATACTTTTAGACTTTATTACACAATTTTATACTTTTCTTGCCCAATTTTATTTTATACTTTATTGTCCAATTTTATTTTAAACTTTTTATTATTGCCCTATTTTATTTTAGGCTTTATTACCCAATTTTATTTTTTATTTTTCTTAACTTATTGTTGCCAAATATTCAAGCTTGTATATTCAACTCCAACTTTTTTATTATCTTGTGTACCATCTTACAATCATATTACTTACAACTATATCATTGCCATTTATTTATTTTTTTATTATACTTTTGGTACTTTAATTTGTAATTTTATCTTATCAATTTATATCTAGTTATATTTTAGTTCATGTAAACAACATATACAGTGGACCCCCGCATAACGATTACCTCCGAATGCGACCAATTATGTAAGTGTATTTATGTAAGTGCGTTTGTACGTGTATGTTTGGGGGTCTGAAATGGACTAATCTACTTCACAATATTCCTTATGGGAATAAATTCGGTCAGTACTGGCACCTGAACATACTTATGGAGTGAAAAAATATCATTAACCGGGGGTCCACTGTATTAGCCTTAGTGCAATTACAAGTGATAGTCTGGTGCTATTTTAATTGGTAATTTTATCTTATTAGTTTATACTTAGTTGTACTTTAGTTCATTCTAGCTCAATACATAGTCAACACCAAATTCATTATATTTATTAGTTACTACACTCTATCTGACCAGTGTGCATTAGCTATATACTTGTCCAAACATCCCACTACTACAGATATCAGTATTAGAACTCACCACACTATACATGATATAAAGAATTACTATTTAAACCTAAAAGATGAATGATCACATTGACCCTGATCTAAACCTACATATTCTGACACCTAATCAAAATTTATTGAAAAGTAACTGCCTTTATTACACAGCATCACAAGCCAGCACTATCCTAAATACTGCTAAAAGTCTAACAGTTCTTAACTACAACATCAGGTCCTTAAGCAAACACTATGATGACCTCTTGGCACAATTGATATCTACCCAGTACTAGGATACACAGCAATCCACAAATGCAGACCATACCAAGTTGGCGGTAGTATTGCAGTCTATTACTCTAATCAACTATCTTGTATTAGCACCACTTGCTATAATGATAAATATGGAGAATATATATTTGCTAATTTTACTGTAAAATCCTTAAGACTCCTTTATAACAGTCGGTGGCATTTACCAGATGCCCCACTCAAACATCCCAAATTTCAGTGAGAAATCAAAGACACGAATAACAAACAGACAAATGAACAAGCACCACCATCTCTTAGCTGGTGACTTCAATATCAACCTTGGCCTACCAGATGATCAGCCTGTAACTGATTTCATCAACAATATGAACAACACACTTCTCATACCAACAATAACTAAACCAACCAGGCTGACCGAGACAAGTACAACCATAATTGACCACATATGGACCAATATACTAGCCCCCCTTAAATTGGGGATAATCACAGACAGCACTACTGACCACTACCCCACCTTCCTCTTAACAAACATTAGTAAACCACCACTGGAATACAACAAAGTTTCATTTAGACTCCATGACGAGGCCTCAATAAGTAATTTCACAGCAGAACTAGAGACTGTTGACTGGCCTACAGAATTCTCCAAGGCCAATGGTATTGACGATTGGACAGACATATTTCCGAATAAATTACTTAGGCTATACAACAAACATTGTCCTATAAAAACGAAACAGATCACAAATAAACGGTTCGGTTGCCCATGGCTAACTAGCTGCATACTGAAATCCATTGGTAAGAAACACCAATATGAAAAGCAATATAGACAGGGCTTGATACAAACACTATTCATCAGTCCTCACCAAACTGATAAAAAAAAGCCAAACAATTGTACTACTTCAGCAGATTCACGAAAACAAGAGGAGATATAAAAAAGGCCTGGAAAACACTCTCTCAGATTCTGGGAACCTACAAACTGAATAAAAACTAAGGATATTGTCCTAAATAAACCAAATGAAACACCACTGCATCCCATTGATACAGTTAACAAGATAAATGACTTCTCAACCATAGCATTTAATCTCGCCAGTAAAATCCCAGGTACCAATGCCCGTGCACGTGATTACTTAGATGGGAATTTCCCAAACTCCTTCTATCTTGCACCTATTGAGCGCACTGAAGTCACCACATTTAAAAATAATTCAGGGAATCTGTCTCACATCCCACCATTATTGTACAAGTGAGTGGCCCATGTCCTCTCTCATGCTATTTCATTACTTTTTAACAAGTCACTAGAAACTAGCGCTTTCCTGGCACTACTCAAGACAACAAGGGTTACACCAATACAAAAAGGTGGTGACCCCATAGATGTAACCAACTACAGGCCAATATCAAATTTACCATTGCTATCCAAAATCTTTGAGAAACTCGTGCACAAGAGATTATATTCGTTTATAACAGCACAAAACATACTCAACCCCTGCCAATTTGGCTTCAGAAAAAATAAAAGCACAAATGATGCAATTGTAAAAATGCTAGATCTGCTTTACACAGCACTAGAAAATAAGGAATATCCATTAGGACTTTTTATTGACCTAAAAAATGCTTTTGACACAGTAGACCACGGCATCCTACTCCACAAACTTGACCATTATGTTATAAGAGGCCATGCACTTGCATATTTCAAATCCTACCTTACTAACAGGTATCAGTACGTCACCATTAAAGACTCAGCCTCATCAACATGGCCACTTGATACTGGGGTACCACAGGGAAATGTCCTTGGTCCCCTGCTCTTCCTCTTATACATCAATGATCTTCCCAACGTATCACAACACCTGAAACCCATTCTCTTTGCTGATGACACGACTTATGTCATCTCCCACCCAAATCTTGCAACACTCAACACCATTGTTAATGAAGAGCTACTAAAAATATCTACTTGGATGACAGCCAATAAACTTACACTTAACACTGACAAAACCTTCTATATTATGTTTGGTAACAGAGCAGGTGTTGCACAACTTAACATTAAGATCGACAACACTCTTATTGCCAAACATGATGAGGGCAAATTTCTAGGCTTGCACCTCAACAGCAACCTGAATTTCAGCACTTATATCCAACACATAACAAAAAAAGTATCCAAAACGATTGGGATCCTCTCTAAGATATGTTACTACGTGCCACAATCAGCCCTTCTCACACTATACTATTCACTCGTCTATGCCTATCTCACCTATGCTATTTGTGCTTGGGGATCGACTGCAGCAACACACCTAAAGCCAATAATAACCCAACAAACAGCCACAGTAAGAATAATCACGCAATCCAATCCCAGGCAACACGCCCCCTCCCACTCTTCATAGATCTAAACTTACTCACTGTACAGAACATCCACACTTAATACTGTGCAACCTACATTTACAGAACCTTAAATTCCACTATTAACCCTGACCTAAAACACTTTCTTGATAGTTGTGACAGAACCCACAGGCTTAACACCAGGCACAAAAATCTCTATGACATTCCCCGTGTCCGGCTAAACTTATACAAAAATTCAATGTATATAAAAGGACCTAAAATCTGGAACACCCTACCTTAAAACTCTAGAACTAAGGACACAATCATCACGTTCAGAAATCCTTCTTTGTTTCAACACACCAGCCGTATATACAGGAATATATACAGGAGAAGGGGTTACTAGCCCCTTGCTCCCGGCATTTTAGTCACCTCTTACAACACGCATGGCTTACGGAGGAAGAATTCTGTTCCACTTCCCCATGGAGATAAGAGGAAATAAACAAGAACAAGAACTAGAAAGAAAATAGCAGAAAACCCAGAGGGGTGTGTGTATATATATATATATATATGCCTGTACACGTATGTGTAGTGTGGCCTAAGTGTAAGTAGAAGTAGCAAGACGTACCTGTAATCTTGCATATTTATGAGACAGACAAAAGACACCAGCAATCCTACCATCATGTAAAACAATTACAGGCTTTCATTTTACACTCGCTTGGCAGGACGGTAGTCCCTCCCTGGGTGGTTGCTGTCTACCAACCTACTACCTTTAACTTTCAGAAATACCATTAGAAAACCTTCTATCTCCCTGACACACCCCACCATCAGCTAATTACATGAAAACCACCTATTCTCTTGTATCATGCACACAAAAAAAAAAAACCTAGACCTCCCCTCAATATCTGTGATTCCCCACAATTCACACTTACACTCAACCAGTTGACTATAAAAACATTGAAATACGTAATAAAACTATTACCTAATAAATCTAAAACTAGTTGTAAGTTTGCCTGTGATACTCCAATATAGGAGCTTCAATAGAAACTATGTATCATACCAAGACAAAACCATTCACATTGCTAAATTTTCAAACTGTAATGCAGTTACTTAGACTTATAATCAATATGCTTTATAAACTGTACCAATATAGAGTATTGAATTAATCTTAGTCTGCCCAAAATGCCTAGTTATGCTAGGTGTGATAGTGGCCCTCTCTGTAATTAGTATTTTATAATATGTAAACCACACAATATCCTATAAAATGTAAAACCCCCAGTGTAATCTTTGCAGAGAATAAACTTGATTGATTGATGTTGAACTGAAATGTCATCATACATTTCTTTCTTCTATGTGCAGGTTATTTGTGTAATAGTTGTTTATCATGTGGAGATTTGGTTGATATTTTTTAAAATATAATTGTATGTTGTGTGTACAATGTTAATATTTAACCAATGATTTCAGGATCTGGAAGTCATTTTGGGGAATATTGGATATATTTATGACAATAGTGAGCTGGAGTTACATAGTGTGCCTCATGTTACGTGTTGACATAGCAGAAGATGCGTTATGGCAGCTGAGAGTTGCTTATTTCCAGAAGTTTGTCAACCTCAAGGGTCTAACAACATGGGACAACGTAAGTCATGTTGCAAGATATAAATGTTTAATTTCTGAACATTAAAAGAAAGGAATGGTATAATGTGTTAAGAAAATAAATTATTACTTAAAATATAACTTTGTTTTGCCTGAAAAATGGACATTTACTTGTTATTAATTTGTTTCCAGATCCTGCATGCACTGATCGGAATAATGCTGATGCTACATCTTCTGCGATGCTTGTGTCTCATGCAATATTTGCCTCGTTTGCGATACCTTGGACTCATGCTGGCCACGGCTACTAAAGATGTCTCTGTAATCAGGTATAGAATTAACTCTCTTGTTATTCATCTGCATCTACCAATAGACATTTTTTTTTTTAGAAGAGTTTTGTCATTTTTTTCTATTAATACATTTCCCACTGAGGCAGGGTGACCCAAAAAAGAAGAAACACTTTTATCATCATTTTCTCTATCACTGTCTTGCCAGAGTCATACCTACACTACAGAATTATAATGATACATAAATTTACTTATAATGTCAGAACAAACTTCAGATGTGTTACATCGGCAAATTTAAATATTTGCTAAGAGTTCTCACAAGGAGCAGGTTCCTTGCTAAGTTTTAGTCAAGAATCAATAATAATTTAATGTAATGGAAAGTACCTTCAACAAAGGCCCATTTGTTTTCCTAGATTAGATTGAGGTATTGCTATTTTCCTCAGTCTATTCACTGTATAAACTTAGTGACTACTTAATTAGGTAGACGCTTCTAGTACTCGATAGGGCTCTATTTTGCCCACAGAAAAGCCTGTATTCTTCATAGTGTTGATTCAACAAGGTGCTGGAAACATTCCTTAGAGATTCTAGTCCATATTAACATGATAATATCACTTGGTTACTGTATGGAGGCAGAGAAGTTAATGCCAAGGGGCAGCAGAAACAATAGGAAGACCAGGGTAAGCCAGTGGTTTATCCGGAGGTGCGGAAGCCAAAGCCAAGTGTGTTAGAGCATGAAGAAATTATAGAAAGCAAAGAATTTTTGGCTGAATAGGCAGGATGAATTCATGGATTCATGTTTATGCCAAATTTTGACTCTACCATCTGCATGTTGAGGCAGAAATTGCGATTTGTCAGACCAGGCAATGTTTTTCCAATCTTCAGTTGTCCAGTTTTGGTGAGCCTGTGCCCACTGTAACCTCAGTTTCCTGTTCTTATCTGATAGACGTGGAATCTGGTGTAGTTTTATGCTGGTATAGCCCATTCACTTCAAGATTTGATGTATTGTACTTTCAGAGATGCTCTTCTGCATATCACTGTTGTAACACAGTTATTTGAGTTGATGTACACTTAAGTATTCTCTTCCAGAGGTTCTGTATAATTGAAGCATGTGTAATAATGATTTGGAAAACATTTAAGTCAGTGAGGGGATGCATCTAGCAGACACATGCAGGCTCAGTAGGCTTCAACAGGAAGTGGTAGAAGTCATGTATCCCTTGGCCACATTGTACAGGTAGCCAACATGTAGAGTATGCATATGGAAAAACTGTGGCATGTTGTACCTAAAATTCACATGGTGTTTGAGTGTTTAAAGATTTATAGTGTGCAATATCAAATTATTTCTGCATTACATAATGTTTTAGTTACATTTTTAGATTGTATTATAATATTTTGAAAACTAAGATTGTATGATATTAATGTAGATAGTATCATCGGTTCATGTATGAGTAAGGCTATTCAGACATAGTGTCAGGTAATGTAGTGCTTTGTTCTCTCATTTTTTCCATGCCACAGCCATTATGCTGAACAAAGTTCAATGTCAAACTGATGATGTCTTGCATGACACTTTAGATGTCTTAATACTTAATCATGACACTGGGTCTCTTAATGCTTCAACATGAACTTTTTGGATCTCTTAATACAGGTCTGCCATCACTAATCCGGCATCATTTAGACCTGTAGTATGCCGGATTATTGAGTTTGCCGGATTACAGAGTGGTTAGGTTAGAATACACTTAATTAACATATCATTAGAGACTTTCTGCAACATCTTCCTCATTTTCATCACTGCTTCCTCCTCCACTGGCTTACTGCTCTGGATTTACAACCAGCTGCACAATTTCTGAGCCAGTATAATGATGAAATCTGAAATTATGCTAGCCAAAATTAGTGCCGAATTACTGATGGAACCGGATAACTGATTGCCGGATTAGTGATGGCCGACCTGTACTTCAACATGAGCACTATGGATCTCTTACTACTTCTACATGACACTTTGACTCCCTGAATACTTAAAGAATTGATTGTTAATAAATGTTACTGAACAATAAACTTGGCCTGTTTTGTAACAAAATGGTATTCTAGGAATGAAATATACATTCTTACTACAGTGGTATTGTAATGTGATAAAGAGAAGTGGGAAATGGCCCATGTGATAAAAAAAAGGAAAAATGGAACTTTGCCCTTCTACACAAGACACTAGTCAGGATTCATTATGAATGATCACTTTCATGACCTTGCTTTATTGGCCAATGTTATTGTATAAGTCAGTGATCTAGTTTGTAAATAAATGGTAGTGTATGCGCTAATCATGAATGAGCAATAAAAGATGCAGATTAGCCACAGGGGGAATCAAATGATAACTGTAGGCCTTTAATGTTACATCAGGATCTTGCAATACCCTCATTACACGGTAGTTACGTTCCTGAAAATGCTGTGTTAGATAAATCCATGTTATATATAAACGAAGAACTTACGGGAAAAATGGGGTTATGTTCAAGCCCCCCCCCCCCCCCCCCCCCACCACCAAAAAAAAAAAAAAAAAAAAAATTTTTTAGATATCCGGATCTTACAAAAATAAAAATGATAATATTGTTTTTGTTGCTTAAGACTACAAATGCAACAGAAATAATATTATTTACCTTAAATTGTGGTTGCTGGTGTATGTCAGTGATTGTGAAGAGAATGGAGATGCATGGTGTGGCCCTACTGGACTGAAGTGGGTGGTTGTTGGTTGTTGGCAGAATTGAATGGTTGAGGCTCTGGTACAAAAGTCGATGGTTGTATTAATTTTGTAATGGAACTCTGGCTTCTTTTACCCTACAGTACATTATACATTATTCCAGAATCTTGGTAGTGCCAGGTTGGAGTCAGAGTCCATTGATGCAGCTAGTTTTTTCATCACTTTTCTTGTGTAGTTACACTTGAATGACTTAATAACTCCCCAATCCAGTGGTTGTATTAAAGATGTTGTATTTGGAGGTAAAACTACAACTTTTACATGTGGGGTCACATCTAGCAAAGCTTCTGAATGAGTACAGGAATTATCAAGAATGAAGAGAGCCTTGAATGCAAGGTTCTTGCTGTGCAGGTAAAAATTGACTTTAGGAATAAAGTGATGCTTAAACCAATCAATAAACATTTCCTGTCATCCATGCTGACTGGTTTGACCCCCAAATTACTGGTAAGGTGTTTTTGTCTACACCTTTCAAAGCACGAGGATTCTTAGAGCAGTAAATAACCATGGGCTTACACTTGAAATCACCTGATGCATTACCACAAAGGAGCAAGGTGAAGCGATCCTTTGCTACCTTGAAGCCCGGTGCAGCCCTGCAGAGGCAGTGGTCTCACCCACAGCAAGGTGGCAGCCTAAGCTAGGGAAATATCCTGCAGGTGATGCTCCAAATTTTTTCCCCTCCTGCAAACCAAACCTTGCTAAGTTAATTTTACAAAGTGTTGTATAAAATTATGGCGCAATTTTTTAATGGTGTAATAACCAAATGTGCCAGATAAATTCATGTAATATGAGGGTCTACTGTATATTGCAGTGAATCTGTCTAGATTTCCTATTCATTTTGCAACATTGCAAGCTTCTGATGTGTAGATTGCAACATAAAAGGCCTACAGCTATCATTCAACTAGCTCTGTGGTTGTTTTACATGGTGATATATGTTTGATAAAATGCAAGTACTGTAGTCATGTGTACTGGTTTCCTAATTTTTGTGAAAACTTGCAAGAAATCATGAATGTCAATGTCCTGGGCTTCCGGGTTTCAAATTAAACTGTTGTAAGCCATATTTATTACTAATGAATATTGACTGGAATACTACATACAACATTGAAATTTTTTTTCTCTCAAGGGGTGTTCCTTGATGCCAGTGAGGCTCTTTATCCAAGAATTAGGCCTGATTTTTCCCTTAGATTGAACCTGATTGCTTCCCATTCCCCCCGTTCCCATCCCAAATGCTGTATGATCCCTCTGGGTTTAGCACTTCTCTCCATGACTAATAATAATCTAAATATCTTCTAAATCTTTTCTTCTTTTCTGGGTCACCCTGCCTTGGTGGGAGACAACTGGTGTTTAAAAAAAATATTTGATATCCATAATATTATAATTAATTACTGAATGTGAAAAGGAAAACTTAAATTTTTCTTTTTAGGTCACCCTGCCTTGGTGGGAGATGGCCAGTGTGTTAATTAAAGAAAAATATTATAATTAATTTATTTTATTGATAACAGCATTGCCCTGGGTATCTTGGTGATGGCCTGCATGTTGCTGGGACATATGTGGTTCAGCCCAGTACTGTGGGAGTTCCACACACTGATGCAGACTTTACTAACACTCTTCAGAATGACATGGCTGCGTTTAGATTTCCTCAAAAGTAAGTCTTGCTTCTAGATTCTTAGCTAATTTGCCTATTTCCATTTTTTTTTTCTTTTCAGAAAATTAAATTCCTTTCAAAGCACATTTCATAATTTTTTTTTATTTTATTTAAAGAACTCTTTGTTGTGTATTTACAGTAGCTTTTATTCTAAAACATACCATATTTATGTTTAATTAAAATTTATTTTATTTCATTTAAACTGTTTGATGTGTATGGACGATAGTTATTGTACTAAAACATGCCAGATTTATGTTTAACTTTAAACAATTCATTATATTACAGGTGTGGAACATGAATCAAGATACACAAAATTCTTGGGGTATTTGTTCTACCTGATAATTTACGTTTTTCTGTACCAAGTGGCTAGAGCTCTCTTTGCTTCGGCTTTCCTGAATGTACGGAAATCACATGTTTATAAACCAGGGTAAGTTATATTCTTATGTGATCATATGTTTATTGATGAATAATAAGAAACTAAGTACAAAAAAAACGAAATCACAAATGTACATAAAACAGGAGACACGTTAAAATTTTTTTTAACTTAGCCTGTCAAAATTAGTACTGTAGGTGCAGAACTAAATGAGTTGAAATTTTAGCATTAAACATTTGCTTATAAAGAATCTTTTAGAGCATTTCTCTTTCTTTTTCTTTCTTTTTGCTTTATAAATGCTGCTTCTTATTCCCCATTCCTTCTCCAAAATATCGTAAAAAAGGGTACAGTAGGGCCCCACTTTACAGCGTTTTGCCTTACAGTGTTCTGCTAATACAGCAATTTCAAATTATGACCAAAATTTGCTATACGGCATGCAGTCTTTCAAATACGGCGCGCCCAACCTTGTTTGTTTACATTCTCTGTGAGCACATCTATTATGTCTGGAAACTTGCCAAAATTTCGAGTGTTTTAAAGTTATTATGTATTTTATATGTACTCCGATAATTATGCTTATGTGTACCTGTACCTAAATATACTTACACACTGTGCTGGCATGTAGGTACACATTAAAATTACTAAGAGTCTCTCTACTCGTGACGCCATAGAAACACTACGTAATAATAATCTCTCTACTCATGACGCCATAGAAATACTACATAATAATTATCTCTCTTGGGCACATTAAATGTCTTATTTTACGTTAAGATAGGCATTTTCATTAATCCATCTATGATATTTTCTTCAAAATTATATAAGAAACATGTTACATAGCATATAAACATTATACATACACCCACAGAATAAAAATTGACATAAATACACTGGACCCTCGACCGATGGCATTAATCCATTCCAGAGAGCTAGCCGTTAGTCAATTTTGCATTTAGTCGAATTAATTTTCCCCATAAGAAATAATGTAAATCCAATTAATCCATTTCAAACAGCCAAAAGTATTAACAAAAAATATTTTTTTTTAAAGATTAAATATAAATATGCATACAGAAAACAATGACAAATAAATATGAAGCACTAATAAAATGGATAAATGAACATTTAACATCACACTTACCTTTATTGACTTATCTTTATTGACTCGACTTGTTGGTGTATGACAGACATGTAGGAGGCAAGAGGAAGACAAGTTTATTATGCTTCAATATGATGCTAATATCATTTCTATGGTTTATTTATCCATCACAATTCATCTAATATGACATTATAAACAATAATAATAACACAGAAACATGATATACAGTAGGGCCTCACTTACACGGCGGGTTAAGTTCCAGGCTATCGCCGGAAAGCAGAATGCCATTTTTTCCATTTATAAATGCATATAAATGCCAGACAACAAGTTTACACTAACTTATGTTAAGTTAGTAATAGAACTAGGCATTAAAAACACAAAAAGTAAAATGAATACACAGTACATTCATTACTTATCTTAGAGTATTTGTAATCTTCTAGGTAGTAGGTTGGTAGACAGCAGCCGCCCAGGGAGGTACTACCGTCCTGCTAAGTGAGTGTAAAACGAAAGCCTGTAATTGTTTTACATGATGGTAGGATTGCTGGTGTCCATTTTTCTGTCTCACAAACATGCAAGGTTTCAGGTACGTCTTGCTACTTCTACTTACACTTAGGTCACACTACACATACATGTACATGCATATATATACACACCCCTCTGGGTTTTCTTCTATTTTCTTACTAGTTCTTGTTCTTGTTTATTTCCTCTTACCTCCATGGGGAAGTGGAACAGAATTCTTCCTCCGTAAGCCATGCGTGTTGTAAGAGGCAACTAAAATGCCAATAGCAAGGGGCTAGTAACCCCTTCTCCTGCATATATTACTAAATGTAAAAGGAGAAACTTTCGTTTTTCCTTTTGGGCCACCCTGCCTCGGTGGGATACGGCCGGTGCGTTAAAAAAAAAAAAAATTGTAATCTTAATGTAGGGAGAGAGGTGAGTAGTGCTTATTTGTAGGAAGTCAGGTGTAGGTAGCCCTGGCTCCCCGTCTCATACTTAATATGCGATATTTAAAACAGCCCAGGACACTCACTATATACTGTACCTTAAAATATGTGTAGTCTTAATGTAGGAAGAGAGTTGAGTAGTATTTATTTGTAGGAAGTCAGTGTAGGTAGCCTGTAGGTAGCTGGTAGGTGTAGCCGGTAGGTATAGCCGGTAGGTGTAGCCCAGGCAGGCTACACCTACCGGCTACCTACACTGTGGCCCAGAGCTGCATTATTGACATCGACATACCTTGTTCACTGAATTTAATCGTTTCTAATAACTACCTTTAGATGCCATCATAAACGAAGGGAGAAGTAATGAATAATTCATACCGAAAATTGTAAACAAAAGCGGAGTGGGGGAGTGGCTGGACCAAATGCAGATTCATACACATTTTCTCTGGTGGCTGAGCAGAGAAAACGTAATGTTGTCCCTCTGTCTGGCTGCCTCACAGGTCCACAAGTATTATTATCAGAGTACATATAAAATATGCAATAAATGCCAGACAACAAGTTTACACTAGCTTATATTAAGTTGGCAATAGAAATAGGCATTAAAAATACAATAAAATGTAAGATACACACAGAGTACACTTATTACTTGCCTTAAAATGTTAATATTAATGAGTGAGAGGTAAGTGGCAGGGTGTTTATTGAATAAAATCAGAATGGCACACCATCATCCTCTAACTTGGCACTTAAAGCAAGAGGCTTGTGACTCCTCTTTTTATCACAACTAAGCTTAGATGTCATTGTCAATGAGAGCCAACTAGGTAACAAAAGAGTAAACAAGAGAGAACGAGATACAGAGTTGAGACAATGTAAGAACACAGACTGAACAGGTAGTGGGCGATCACTTTGTCAGGTGAAATAAATGCGTATTAATGTGTGTCTACTTTTAGTTCATTCACGTACATTTGTAAGAGTTTGTAAAACTTTTACCTCGCAATATTTTTTTATTATAATAATAATGATTACCTCACAATACAAATACATACAGTGGAACCTCTACTTGCGAGTTTAATCCATTCCATGACCTTGCTCGCAACTGGATTTGCTCATTTGCAGAGTCAATTTTCCTCATTTAAATTAATTGAAATGCAATTAATCCGTTCCAGTGGAATTCTGTACTTCAATAATTTCGCTAATATCAACTCTTCGGCTTATTTATCTATCTCACTTCATGTAATATGACATAATAAATAATATAAATAACATAGAAACCTGATATATACTCTAAAATGAATAAAATATGTCATTCATGTAGTGGTATGGGCGGTGTCAGCGGTGGACGAGAGTTTGTCTGGACACCGGGCAAAATACTTCATGAATAATTTCGCTAATATCATCTATACGGCTTATTTATCTATCACAGTTCATTTAGTATGACATAACAAGCAATATGAATAACATAGAAACATGATATATACTCTTGAATGAATAAAATATGTCATTCATGTATTAGATTTCTTTCATTATTATTATTATTATTATTATTTATTATTATTATTATTATTATTATTATTATTATTATTATTATTATATAAATAATTTGTAATTTTTATTCACACAAAAAATATAAGATTTACTGTTTACACTGGAACAGCCAAGCAATGGACCATTTCTCCTAGGTTGAGCTCTATTTCAAGGTACTTTTCGTCGTGAAAGCAATCAAAATCATATCTATTTCTGTAGTATATCTTCCATTCTATCAAATGAGACCAAAAAAACGAGAATACAACCATAAAAACCATTCGAAATTACCGCTAAGGGGTGGCTAATTGCTGAGAAGTGAACTCCATTATTTATGCTTAGATTTCTTTCATTTTTGGTGTACGTTAAGAAGCATCTTTCCATCATACATTGCCCAAGTTTCAATAAGATAGTCCAACAAATAACTGAGATACAATTACCGAGATCAAGAGCAAGAGCCCCTCACCAGTGTTAAGAAACCTGCCTTGAGGTCTGCTCGCTTGTGGAAATTTTGCTCGCGTATGGAAGCAAAAAATCGACCCATCGACTGCTCGTATTTGGAAAAACTCGCACGTGGACACGCTCGCAAGTAGAGGTTCCACTGTACTCTTACATTGTGTACAAGTTAGTACAGAATAAACAAACAGCAACACTCCCATTCTCATGCAACACACCAATTTTAAGAGTGAATGAAGATATTATTATCATAAAAAAGTGCTAAACCCACAAGGGTCGTGAATTGCTATATACGTGTATGAGTGAAGGCATACGAAAGGAATATTTTTCTACAGTTATCCTCCAGTATTTGACTAGAGAAAACATAATTCTTTCGACACTACCTACACAGCCGCTTTGTAAACAAATCTCATATTTAGGTCAATTTTTATTCTCTGAGTGTATGTATCATGTTTATATGCTATGTAACATGTTTCTTATATAATTTTGAGGAAAATATCATAGATGTGGTCATGAAGAATGTAAACAAACCGGGTGGGGCGTGCCATATTTAAAAGACCGCTTGCCGTATAGCATATTTTGGTCATAATTTGACATCGCTGTATTAGCGGAACGCCGTAAGGCGGGGCCCTAGTGTATACTCTTGAATGAATAAAATATGTCATAATGTATGAGAGGAGTAAATGGTGTAAGTGTTATTGTTGGGTTTAAGGGCCGCCTCTGAGAGAAGTTGTGTTGGTGGCGGTGGAGGCTTCTGCCACCAACAATGACACTTAAACAATGTATGTAATATTTAAATAAGAAATATTTACATTTTAATTTATAAATAAGAAATTTATTTTTTTTTTTTTTTTATTATCACACCGGCCGATTCCCACCAAGGCAGGGTGGCCCGAAAAAGAAAAACTTTCACCATCATTCACTCCATCACTGTCTTGCCAGAAGGGTGCTTTACACTACAGTTTTTAAACTGCAACATTAACACCCCTCCTTCAGAGTGCAGGCACTGTACTTCCCATCTCCAGGACTCAAGTCCGGCCTGCCGGTTTCCC